CATAGAGTTTAAATGATCAAATGGTTAATCAAGTATGGGAAATTAGCCAACCGCCTTACCCCCCCCCCCCCCACTGCTAGACCGCTCTGGGGCCGCCCACGCGCCAGCCCGGCCCCTGGTTAAATCCCCAAATCGTTCCTTCAGATGGCTTAGAGGCTGATCCAAGAGCAGCACGTTTAAAAAAAAAAATAGTGCAGCCTTCCGGCGTGATGGACGACGCCCAATTATAGATAAGGCCACTCTGCTGAGGGGGCCGGCGTCTGTGAGCCTTAATTAGCGGCGAGACAATGCGTGTCGGCCACTAAGGGATCCCGTCTGCTTACACGCCGCCTGCAGGAAGCGGCAGCCTAATCGAATGCAGCGTGCGTCTGCGCAGACACGCTCTTTGCAGTCGTTCACTTGCAGTGCTTAGTATCGATGGGTTTCAGCTTAAAATGTTGCCATATTGGTCCTCTTACATCTGTGTAATTAGTCCTGAAACATTTATGATGAGCACATTTATCCTTTACATTAATTTTGCCGATATTTTTATCCAGCGTAATGTACATTTTTGAGAAAGCAGAGTCAGACTGTCCCTGGAGTATTTGGGGGCGACATCACACTGCTGACCTTGGCATTTGAACCAGCAACATTCCAGTCACAGTCCTAACCCACGAGCTACACACCATACATCTTTACTTTTACCGAGACGCAAGACGTGTCTGAGTCAGCCTGGGCGTGGGGCGTTAACCAGGGAATCTGTGTTGCAGGGTAGTTCTGAATGGCTCATTTCATAGGCCTTTGTAGAAATTTTGGCATTGTGCTCGGGTTTAGTGCTGGGGAGATGGGCCTGTGTTTGTCAGGCAGGCATTCACTTTAAATCATGTGCAGGAGCTCAGGCTTCAGAAGTGTATATATAGAGTGGGGACCCCAGATTTCCTCTGAGGGGAGATGTGTAAGGCCTGTGTTCCTCTTTCTGTAAGGATGACAGAGATATCTTTTAAAATAAAAATGATAATGAAATGTAGCCTGGCTTTGCATGGGAGGAAGGAAGGAGGTAAATGAACAGAGATGGTGTAGCACGGCCTGGGTGTAGCACCGGGCTGGGCTCGGGTGTAGCACCGGGCTGGGCTCGGGTGTAGCAGCGGGATGGGCTCGGGTGTAGCACGGCCTGGGTGTAGCAACGGGCTGGGCTCGGGTGTAGCACGGCCTGGGTGTAGCAGCGGGATGGGCTCGGGTGTAGCACGGCCTGGGTGTAGCAGCGGGCTGGGCTCGGGTGTAGCAAGCAGGCTGGGCTCGGACGTAGCATAAGGCAGCCTGTGCTTGCGTGGTCGCCTATGCTGAGAGTTCTCCCAAACACAAGCAGGCTGCAGTCTGCCTATCACTTGCTGATGGGGCTGATTTCTGCACCTAAGCCGATCTCTCCGGCTTTGCCTCCATCTGCTCTTGTCGGCAGAAGACATTGATGCTGGGAAAGTGAGAATCTTTAACGCTAATAACTACTCTGTAGGTGGGTATTAGCTGCGGGCTTAAAGTAGCCGGGTGTGGTGATGGCGTTTTCTAGAAATCTCAGGGGGGGTTCCGTAGCCCCGGAGTCGAGCTGCATGATGGCTGCATATGGTTATCCATGCCGACCGTCTGCATTGACCTGATGATGAGGGTTTATAAACCGTTAATATGAGAAACTTTCATTTCATATTTTTTCTAAAGTGTCATGTTGGGCCGATTTGGTCAATGCTCACGACTCTGTGCATTTTGCAGAGTTACTCATCTCGACGTCTAGTTTTGCTCCAGTTGTCTGCATTACATTAATCTGGCAGGCAGTTTTATACAGACCAATGTACATTGCAAACATTGAAAGAGCAGAATCCGACAGCACCTGGAGCAATTCGGGGTTAAGGGCCTGGCTCAATGGCCCAATGGTGACATCACTGTGCTGACCCTGGGGTTTGAAATGGCGCCCCCATGTGCCTCACTGAGTGGAGTGTCACTGCTCACTCTGCCGACCCCCCCGCCCCCAGGCCACGGAAAACGAGCCGGGTGACATGGACCTCAGCGGCCTCCTCGAGACGGCCGTGGACTCTGAGGAGGATGACGATGAGGAAGACATCGAGCGGGCCTCAGACCCTCTTATGAGCCGGGACATCGTGCGTGACTGTCTGGAGAAGGACCCCATGGACAGGACGGACGACGACATTGGTGAGTCTATGCAGTAAGTGTGCTAATGTAGCCCGCATGACAGCGAAGTTTGTGCTAAAGCGTGCAGGTGTGTCGTAGTCAGTTCAAGATGCTAAAGAGGTCGGCGAATCTGCTTAGCAGGCGTGCTAACCCGGCTAATATGACGATGGAGGCCAAATGCTGTGTGGAAAATGTACTGACTGGGGCACTATAGTGCGTCCAGTGGTGATCAGGCTTGGGTGTGCTGTCAGTGGGTGTGGCTTCCGCTACCATGTGACATTTTGTGCATGGGGACAGCCCTCCTCAGCCATCACGCTTTCTAGGCGCCCCCCCCCCGCTCTCGGCTCACCGTGCGGTGAGCTTGACGTGCGCCGACGCCACAGGCAGCTCTGAGACACGGCCGGCTGCGGGCTCGTGCCACGGGACTCTGTGTGGGTCACCTCTGAATGAAAGCAGCACGCCGCCATACCGAGGCTCAGCCGCGGCTAATCTGCCTTTTAACTGCATAATCCAGCACTGAATACTCAAGGGTACGGCCTCTGGAGGGCGGTCTGGAGCAGGATTCATCCCAGCAGCCGCAGGGCTGAGATCATACGTGGGCATTGTACCCCAGATCAAATGCTTCACGGCTGACAATGGGCAGCCACAGCAGAGCATGCAAAGCCATTCCCTCCCATTGATCTCATTAGTAACGTTTGGGGGGAGTCTCAGTCCTGCTCTTTATGGCTGCTGTGCTCATTTCCTGGGGTGTCAGCATGCTGTTTCCTCAGGCGCGGCTTATCATTACATTTAGAAGTCATTTAAAATCTAATTGAAATGGAATCAACAGGAAGGAGTGATATTCCAGAAGGTAGGTGAGTGGATGGGGATGATGTCATGAGGCATGTTTTACTGGGTGATGCAGATGGTGAGCGATGGATATAGATGATGACATGAGGGATGTTTCACTGGGTGATGCAGATCTTGAGCTATGGATTTAGATGATGATGTGAGGAATGTTTCACTGGGAGATGCAGATGTTGCGCTATGGATGGAGATAATGTCATGAGGGATGTTTTGCTGGGAGATGCAGATGTTGCGCTATGGATGGAGATAATGTCATGAGGGATGTTTTTCTGGGAGATGCAGATGTTGCGCTATGGATGAAGATAATGTCATGAGGGATGTTTTGCTGGGAGATGCAGATGTTGCGCTATAGACGGGGATGATCTCGAGGGATGATTCGCTGGAAGATGTTGAGCTCTGGCTTTTGATTCTGATGTTTAGCTGCTTCTCCCACCACAGAGCAGCTCCTGGAGTTCATGCACCAGCTACCAGCATTCGCCAACATGACCATGTCCGTGCGGAGAGAGCTGTGTGCTGTCATGGTGTTCGCTGTGGTGGAACGTGCTGGAACCATCGTGCTCAATGACGGGGAGGAGGTGAGCGGGCCACTTTGTGCCCTGGTCCACGTTGGGGTCACTGAGCACTGTCGATGGCCTGGCACTGCATATACCAGCCACACCCCAGCTGTGCTGCATCCTTTTCACGTTGATTGGCTCTGTCTCCTGGCTCAGCTGGACTCCTGGTCAGTGATCCTGAACGGCTCCGTGGAGGTGACTCACCCAGACGGGAGGACCGAGATCCTCTGCATGGGCAACAGCTTTGGTGTCTCGCCCACTTTGGAGAAGGAGCTCATGAAGGGGGTCATGAAGACTAAGGTGGACGACTGCCAGGTGGGACTGCCTGACTGGAGGCCGGCGGGCCGTGGTGTAGATACTGTGTCGAAGGGCCGACATTCCTGTCTGACTTCCTGTTTTCGAAGGGATTCGTCGAAGTCCTCCTACTGACTTGATGAGCTCTGTCTGTTGCAGTTTGTGTGCATAGCCCAGCAAGATTACTGCTGCATCCTTAACCAAGTGGAGAAGAACATGCAGAAGGTGGAAGAGGAGGGCGAGATCGTCATGGTGAAAGAGCACCGCGAGCTGGACCGCACCGGCACCCGGAAGGGCCACATCGTCATCAAGGTCTTGCAGAAATCCGGGCCTCCCTTAAGGCATGGCTGCTTAGCGCCGATAGGGGTCTCACTGCCAACCGGCCTTCCTCCCGCAGGGCACTGCGGAGAGACTGACCATGCACCTGGTGGAGGAACACTCCGTGGTAGACCCCACCTTCATCGAGGACTTCCTGCTCACCTACCGGACCTTCCTCTCCAGTCCCATGATTGTGGGCAAGAAGCTCCTCGAGTGGTTTAATGATCCCAGCTTAAGGGATAAGGTATGCCATGTGATAGGTCCTTCATGGCAACTGAGGGCAGGTTTACATCTTGGTGAAGTTTTTTTAAATAACCTGAATAAGTACATTTGATGTCAAAAGTCTACATTGTAGAGGATAACATAAATATATCATAGCAATAGGAATAAAACTATGAGTTTATAAACTTAAAATGAGAGATTTCTGAATGCAAATGTTGTTTCCCTCCAGGTGACACGGGTAGTTCTGCTGTGGGTGAACAATCATTTCAACGACTTTGAAGGAGACGCCGCTATGACCCGCTTTCTGGAGGAGTTTGAGAGCAATCTGGAAAGAGAGGTGTGTGGCCCGTCTGCCCGGGGCTCTGCGGCGGTCTGCGTCTCTGTGAATGACGGCGAACTTGCCTCATCGGTCTTTATCCTGAACAATAACAGAAAATGAGCGGCCACCTGAGACTGCTGAACATCGCCTGTGCGGCCAAGGCGAAGCTGCGGGTGCTGACCCTGACCAAGCCATCCCGCGAGGCTCCGCTGCCCTTCACGCTGCTGGGCGGCTCGGAGCAGGGCTTCCGCATCTTCGTGGACAGCGTGCAGGCGGACAGCAAGGCGGCGGAGGTCGGCCTCAAGCGAGGAGATCAGGTGTGGCTCTCGTGTCTCCCTCCCCATCTGAGAAGGCTGGTCACGTTACGGTTTCTCTGGTTTTACTGGTTTTATCCTACTTGCCATACGTCTGGCTTTTAGAGGTTTTCCTTAGGGGACTTTCTTCAGGAGATCCTTCCTGTTTATGGAGTTTGCGCTTCACCGTTTGCCTGCAGTACGGCCCGGTGCTTCTCCACACACTCTGCCGTCATGACATTTGGAGATAACGTCAGGCCTTCCAGCTGACTGCCCTTTCATCACTCCGTTATCGAGTCCCCAAAACGGCTGCTTATCTGTAAGCACTAATGTGAGGCTGTGCTCCTTGGGGGGGCTGTGCTCTAATGAGGGGGCAGGAAACGCCGCACGGAGAGTCAAAGGGGGGCTCGCCCTTCATCCTGGCTAGGCTCCGCCCTGATCCCTCTTCTCCCTCAGATCCCCTCGAAGATCTAAGAAGTGTTTCTTTGCATGCTGGGGATTCGTAATCTCTGTGTCATCTCCCCTCGCAGATACTGGAGGTTAACGGGCAGAGCTTCGAGAATGTGCCGCTGTCAAAAGCCAGCGAGATCCTGAAGAACAACACTCACCTGTCTATCACTGTGAAAACAAACCTGTTAGGTGAGCTTGGGCTCTGGAGCGCTGCTGGTGATCAATAGGGGAAATGACTCCCAATGCCAGTGGCTGCCCTAGGCTTGTTTTGGCCAAATTTATTCTAGTAGATTCTTACCAAAATGCAGCAAGTTACAAAGACTAGTTGATGTATTACACTCTTAAGAAAATTAGGATGTTTTTGATTTTTTTCGTTTCTTGTATTTGGGGTCGGGAGGGACTATTTATCTTATTTTATAGATAGTGGTCAACTGCCTGTCATTTTCTGCCATAATGCATCGTTGTCTGACTGCAGTATTCAAGGAGCTCCTGACCATGCCAGTAGAGGAGAAGAACATGGGTCCACATCTCCCCAAGATCGGGGACATCAAGAAGGGCAGCCGGCACTCCATCCCTGACCTGGCCATGGATGTGGAGCAGGTCATGAGCCTCGAGAAGGCCAACAAGAAGGCCAAACCCAACACCGTCATCAGCAAGAACAAGCTTAAGAAGATCTTTGACAAGAAGCGCATCAGTATTCTGCCCCAAAAGCCATACAAGTGAGCAGGAGAGTCGTTTTGAATTCATCCTCATACGTCATTCATTTCTGAGGGTTAAGTCCCTTTAAAAAGCCAGTGATCCTAAAGTGAGCTCTCTGCTGCCCCCTAGTGACGTGGGAATCGGGCAGTCTCAGGATGACAGCATTGTAGGGATGAAGCAGTCTAAACAGATCCACCCCACACTCCCAGTCAGCGGGAACCTCTCCTCCAGCAACCCCGACCTCCTGCAGTCCCACCACCGCATCCTGGACTTCAGCAACTCGCCTGGTGAGGGCACTCTTGTTACCCCAACTGCAGTGGAAAACATGCATTCAGACCTTCCTCCTCAACTTCAGTTTCAGCCAAATGTTCGGCAAAGATTCTGTGTGTGTGTGTATGTGTGTGTGTGTGTGTGTGTGTGTATGTGAGTGAGTGAGAGAGAGAGAGGCTGCACTCGTGTCTTTGCGTTACAGAATATCTGTCCCACGTTTCATGGTGGTGCTTTTCAATACAGACCCTCAATGACATGCTCTGGCCAAAGGAATGAGTTTCAGACCAAATGCAGATGTTTCCAGTGAAGTACAAAGTGTTCCTGCTTCCTTTATATAAAATGTACTTTCTGTGTATCTTTCAGCACCGGTAGAGATTAGTAAGTATTGAGATCCGTCCGCTTTTTCCTGCTTGCCTTTCATATAACTCTCCTGATCTTTCCTATACTTCAGGAAATTTCTTTTAAATTGATTTCCTTTTTTTACCAAAAATTCCACCAGAAAATCATACTTGGGCTTATTGTTGGCTATAAATTCTGTTCACCTTTCTTCAGTTCACTCTCAGACGTGTGTTATATATACCACATGAATCGTGTTTGGGGATGATGTCGGCTGAATGTGTGAGAGTTTCCAGACTCTGTGTTCTGCTGTGCGTACAGTTGGATTCCTTTGACTTCTCCTTCTCCAAGATGAACGTTCTTGATCACCACCCCACTGCTGGCGTGTTCAGGCTGCACCCGCTCTTGGGCTGGGTGTGTTGAGCTTGCACGCTAACACGTGTTTGTACACTAGAGGGCTAACGGTATTACACGAGTCCTCAAACGCCACGGCCCACGTGCGGCTTACAAACACCAGGGCCGTCCACTGAGTTTTCAGCGATGAGAGCAGCGAGATTTGAATTTTTATTGAATTTGAATGGGAACGGATTACAAACGATTATCAAATAAGAAGTAAACAGCTTCTCTGCTGTGTGCATGGTAATAGGCTCTTTTCTGTTGCCTCATTCCACTGGATTTATTTAAAGTGATACACCCCTTTAAATACATTCTGAATGATTACAAGAGCGACCCACAGGAATGCTGCTTCCCTATGGCCGTGGAATCAATTTAAAATCACATTTGCCAAAATCTCATCTGCATGGTCTGATTTAGAGCTATTCCCCCCCCCCCCCCCCAAAGGTAATTTGGTGGAGGCCAATTAAATCCAAGCTTTTCATTCCCTTTAAAGTAAACTTGGTAACAGACCCGCTTAATGTATCGCAGATTTGGCAGATCAGGTGCTGAAGGTCTACAAAGCCGACCAGCAGAGCCGCTACATTATGATCAGCAGAGACACCACGGCCAGGGAGGTGGTGGTCCAGGCCATCCGCGAGTTCGCCCTGACGGCGACGCCGGAGGCCTATTCGCTGTGCGAGGTGTCCGTCACCCCCGAGGGCGTCATCAAGCAGCGGCGGCTGCCCGAGCAGCTCTCCAAGCTGGCAGATAAGATCCAGCTGAGCGGAAGGTGGGAGCTCGCAGGGGGCCTTCATTGAAAGATACCTACTTGTGCTTGGGGCACAGAGAGTCCCAAATATGGGCTGGTCAGGATGCCGTGTCTGTGATCGGAAGGTTGTTGGTTCACATTGATTTTGCTGTTGGGCTCAAAACTGCTCCAGGGCAGTGTTTCCCAACCCAGTCCTAGGGGACCCCCAGCCAGTCCACATTTTTGCTCCCTCCTAGGTATAGTACCTGTACCAGGTATTCATTGTTCTTGATTGCATGCTTGTTTAGGTTAGGTGTGCTGGGAGTTGGGAGGGAATAAAAATGTGGACAGTCTGGTGGTCCTCAAGGACTGGGTCGAGAAACACTGGGATTCTCTGACCCTGCTGTCTAAATTGTAAATTAAAGAATAAATTTAAAAGTATTTCTGAAATACAAGTGAAAGGTACAATAATTAATAACAATGAAACACAGGGTTTTATTTTGTTCGGAACTCATGGATGAGCAGCCCCAGTAGCTCCGAATGCGTCCCGTGTGCTGTGTTGTAGGTACTACTTGAAGAACAACATGGAGACGGAGACGCTGTGTTCAGACGAAGACGCACAGGACCTCCTGAGGGAGAGCCAGATCTCCCTGCTGCAGCTCAGCACGGTGGAGGTGGCCACACAGCTCTCGGTGAGGAACTTCGAGCTCTTCTGCAAGATCGAACCCACTGAGTACGTCGACGACCTCTTCAAGCTCAAGTCTAAGACGGGCTCGGAAAATCTGAAGAAGTTCGAGGAGGTGGTCAACCAGGAGACCTTCTGGGTGGCTTCGGAGATTGTGCGCGAGCCCAACCAGCTGAAGAGGATGAAGATCATCAAGCACTTTATCAAGATTGCCCTGCACTGCCGCGAGTGCAAGAACTTCAACTCCATGTTCTCCATCATCAGGTGACCTGCACATGGGCTTCTCGGGACTGAAAATTGCCTGCTTTGTTGTGCTTCTGTTTGGTGGAGTTGCAGATGGTAATCTAGGCTGCTTTTAGTGAAATGCTTTTTTGGATCATTACACACAGTATGGCATAATATTCCTCACTGTTTCCCAGCGGGCTGAATCTGGCTCCAGTGTCCAGGCTACGAGGGACATGGGAAAAACTTCCCAGCAAGTATGAGAAACTCTTTCAAGATCTCCAGGACCTCTTTGACCCTTCTAGGAACATGGCCAAGTACCGCAATGTCCTGAACAATCAGAACCTCCACCCTCCTATAATCCCCCTCTTCCCTGTCATCAAGAAGGACCTGACGTTTTTGCACGAAGGTAACTAGCACTCCTGGTTTTCCCACCAAATATTAGATGCCAGCCGTTTCGCCGACCATTGTTTACATAATGATGTTTTCCTCCATTCTAAGGCAATGACTCCAAGGTTGACGGTCTGGTGAACTTTGAGAAGCTCAGGATGATAGCCAAAGAGGTCCGCCATGTTGGGCGCATGGCTTCTATAAACATGGACCCTGCGCTGATGTTCAGGACCAGGTAAGCGGGACGTCCGGCCATCGGGGACACCGGCCCCAGTTTTAGTCGCTTCTGTTTGAGGCGAGCTCCTATGGACAGCGCTTAAGTACCACTAGGCTGTTTGGGGAGGATCCCTGGTTCCTCTTCTGCCGGCGCTCAGTTCCTCGGTCACGGTCCATTTGACTCCAGTCTCTTTGTCAGTGCAGCTTCCATCCTGTGTGGTCCGGTGTTGTGGGTGACTCAGTATTGTGGGAGAGCTTCATGATGTCAGCGGCTAGTGATGGAAGAAATGAGGCTTCAGATCCCACGGTGGGAGGGGAGATGGGCGGGGTTGGCGTGCTGTCAGTCACGCTCCTCATAGGTTCCCCATTGGTTGAAGCCAGGCAGTCACTGACAGCGCACAGTTTCCTTGGCCTTTTGGTTACGGCCCGTTCCGACGTCTTTCCTCAGCCGTTCACTCCTCTGTCTCCCTGCCTTCCTTCTGTCCTCATGCTTTTCTGTTCACGCCTCTCACTTACAGGAAGAAGAAGTGGAGGAGTCTTGGGTAAGTGCCGATCTCTGACCTTTGGCCTGTGACCCTTCCTCTGCCTGCCTGGCTGCATTTCCCCCAAGCCTTCACCTCCGTTTCCGTTTTAAGCTTTTCATTCATAGACATTCATCTCCTGCACATGGGCTCCCGTAGACTATCACAAAATATCGCCACGTTTCCTATAATTCACCGAAAGAAATTACATGAATAATCTTAGTCTTCAAAATCAAGTCATTTCGGCCTGATACGTTTCCAGATTTTGAATTGAAAGGTCACTTATCAAAGTATTAATAATGTAAAGTACTTCCCGCTGTCATAATGGAGGGCAGCCTCCTTCCTGTTAACAGCGGTTTGGGGGGAGGGGCGGCATTCCCATGTGCAGGTGTGGATTAACCTCGGCAGGGAAGCTCGCCAGCTGCATGCCTAATACAGCTGTTAACATTACCACGTCGCCCTCTGCTGGAGCAGAGATGCCGACGTCTCGCGCCGTGTGCCGTAGCCGTGTGAGTGGACACTAATGGCAGCGAGCGGCAGATGCATGCAGGGCGTGGTCGGACCCCCGGCATGCCGCGCTCCTTCACGGACGGAATGCCGACTCGCGTGTTTGGGACCGGAGACGGCTTTTCGGTCTTGACCCGGCCCCTCTCTTCCGGCACTGTGCAGGTCTCTGAGTCAGGGCAGCGCCAGCGCGGCCGTCCTGGACGTGGCACAGGCCAGTGGGCACAAAAAGCGAGTCCGCCGCAGCTCCTTCCTCAACGCCAAGAAGCTGTACGAGGACGCACAGATGGCGAGGCGCGTCCGCCAGTACCTGTCCGACCTGACGCTGGACACCAGCGAGGACACCCTGCAGACCATGTCCCTGCAGTGCGAGCCCTCCTCCAGCACCTGTGAGTCCTCCTCACCTCTAGGGGCAGTGTGCAGTCGAATTGCTCCATCACCGCACAGGTCAAATAACATGGCAGTCGCTGCCCCCTCTCAGTGCCCAAGGGTGCTGGTGACAAGCGGAAGCCCGACACATCACCCGTGGTCCAGCGGACTGGCCTGCAGAGGGCGTCACAGCAGAAAGGAAACCTGCAAATGGCGGCTGGGCTACACTACACTACTCACAAGAAGGTGCCGGCGAAGGACCTGCCGGCCTTTGGTAAGAGAGAGCAGGGGAATCTGGTGATTCTTCCTACAGGAAATAGGTCCTCGATTGTTCAAAGATGTACAAGATCAGGAGCTGGTTTGTTTCGGTGATAATGGAACTGTGCTTTATTTTAGTGGTGCGAGTTTATGATTCAAGCTTGTATGAAATTTTAGACATTATGTTCATGGCATATCAGCCAAAGCTAGTTGGCTGATATGTCATTAAAACACTGGTCCTTTTTTTATTATAATTTTATTTTTTACTTTTTTGTGTATAACTCTTCGTATAAATATTTCTCCTTTCAAGGGGGGAGTTCCCCTCAGGCCTTAAAGAAGATGCTGTCAGACGAAGCCGGTGATCGACACAGGAAGCAGACGGAAGACAGCATCTCCAGCGCATCGTCCCATCTGTCTTCACCTCCTCTTTCTCCACGCAGCTCTCCGCGCAAAGGTACGCTGCAGACCCAGGCAGTCTGTTACGTGTGGCTGCTGCCCCCTAGTGGAGAGTCAAGCAACTGCCTCTCACAGCTGCAGCAGCATGTCACCGACTCGGAACGTTGATTGATTTCCTGCAGTAAATGTCCGGGTGGTGTATATACCGTTTACAGGTATTTGCTCTTGTCACAGAATTAGTGCGAGGTTGCCGAGCGACTCCAGTGACTCGCCTTGCTGTCTGAGATGGTGATGGTCACTCGTCAGACACCGTTATTAACGTGGCAGAGTCTCGTAGGGTGTGATGAGCAGCAAAACATAAGATCAGCAGGGAGGAGAGAGCTAATCTCGATCCCCAGCACATGCCAGGTCTGGCCGCTTCACTCATTAGGCTTGATTGAGCTGCTGATTGAAATAATTACTCTGTGCGGTGCGCTTTGTCTAAGCCACATTAAAATGAACGAAGATTCTTTTAAATTATTCGACTGTTAAACCCAAAACAGCTTTAGAGTGAGTAATCCAGGTTTCATTATTGATTTTCAGGTAATGAGTTTGTTTGTAGCCTTTAACTAATACACAGTCGACTAAAATGTATTGCTTGTTAAAGTTCTGGTGAAATAAATGCAGCCCATTTTATTAAGACAAACATGTAACGGTTAATTTAGTGCAATTAAGATTTATAGAAAATTCCCAAGTAGCAGATGTCAGGCGATTTTAATTGTAATTCAATCAAGCCTCTTTGATTAAGAGCTCCGTTGGGTGCAAACCCTGCATGAACCCAGGAGGGGGTTCGATGTTTTCTTGGCCTCCCCCCCCGCAGATGTTTCAAAAACTAAATAAACAGCTAGCAAGTACAATCAGAAGATTGTAGCTGCTTCAGCATCTCCTAAATAAGGAATGAGCTTATTTAAAAAGACTGTAGTGACTGTTTGTGCCCAACAGGGGGCTAGTAGATGGTTTGAGTGGTGGTGAACTGCGCCACTGCACGTACAGTGAACAGTGAGCAGCGGCTTTGGGAGCCACCAGCATGTGGCGCTGTGGCTCCCGTGTGCCGGTTGTGTGGCGGTTGTGTGCCGCATAGTCATAGGCTCTCGCTAAGCTCCTTCAGAGTCCTGCCCTTCGTGTTCATTAGCCGCCTCTGCCCGCGTTTTCCAGAGGACGCCCCGCTAATGGCTCGTGTCCCAGCGCTCCGGGCTCATGGCGTCGCTATAATGATATCTCGATAATGGCAGCGCTGTGTCTGGTGGTGATTGACAGCATGACCATTAACACGAAGCTGACACCCCCACCCTCAGGCTATTTTCGGACGGCGGACACCTTCTCCGACTCAGGCCACAGCGAGCGGTCGTCGCGCTCCAGCCTGCTCAGCAACTCATCCTTCGACCTGATCCAGGATGAGCGCCGACAGCGGCACTCCATCAGCGCCATGGAGGCCGGCCCCGGGGGAGGCCGCATGGAGCGCCGGGCCACCCTGGACCCCGACCAGTACAGCCTGGGGTGAGTCGGACCACAGCAATCAGAGTGATGAGAGCCTCCCCCTAATGACCCCTAATGACCCTCCCCTGTACCCTGTCCCCTGTCCCCCCTCAGCTCCTACTCCTCGGTGGGCGAGGCCCGTGGCCTGTACTCCTGCACCACGGCCCTGTCCTCCCCCAGCCTGGAGGAGCTGACCCAGGACCAGGACCGGGCCTCCCTGGATGCCGCTGACAGTGGCCGCGGCAGCTGGACGTCCTGCTCCAGCGGCTCCCACGATAACATCCAGACCATCCACCACTGGCGGGACTCGATCTCCTCTGACCGGTCGAACTTCTCCGAGCACGGGGCCGGGCCAGGCCGGGCCACCCCCGATCCTGGCCGGGCCCGCGGGAGCTGGGCATCCTCGCCCGCCTACTGGGGGGAGGACTCGGAGGGGGACACGGGAACCATCAAACGGCGGGGGGGGAAGGACGTGAACCCTGAGGTGGAGATGGACAGCGTGCCGTCTGGAGGCGCAGAGGAACCGAAGCAGCACGGCCGGGCACTGCACGGCAGCACCGCCTCCGGGACGCCCCGGGGCCCTGTCGGTAAGCCCCGCCCTCACTATGTTATCCTGATAATTATTGTTAGAGGTGATATATTGGGCAGCTGTGTGTGTGTGGATTTCACCTGTTTTTTCATGTTGATTTCCCACCCGCTGCCCTAAGGACTTGGGGCTGAATTTGTGAATTAGTCTTTGAATTGGTCTGTGTGTGTGTGTGTATGTGTGGGTGTCTTTCTGTGTGTGTGTGTGTATGTGTGGGTGTCTTTCTGTGTGTGTGTGTGTGTGAAAGAGTCTGTCTGTCTTTCTGTGTGTGTGTGTGTGTGTGTGTGTGTGTGAGAGAGAGAGAGAGACTGTCTTTATGTGTCTTTCTGTGTGTGTGTGTGTGTGTGTGTGTGTGGGTGTCTTTGTGCATAGGCGTGTGTGAGAGTCTGTCTGTCTTTCTGTGTGTGTGTGTGTGTGTGAGAGAGAGAGAGATGGACTAGCATCCAGTCCAGTGAGCCCCCAATCTCCACCCCTTTGTGACTCTGTCCAGGCTAAGCAACGGAATGAGGGATGATGGATGGCAGTGAAACAGTTGCTTATCTTGTGCTGTCACCTATAGTGCCCCATTTCATGTGGTCACGATAATGCTGCCAGTCGCTGTGCGATGCCCTGTTTCGCGTTATCACCGTGATGCCGCCAGTCTCCCTTTGGTACCCCATGTCATATTGTCATAGTGATGCTGCCAGTTGTTCTCCAGTGCCCAGTTTCATATTCTCATGGTTATGCTACCAGTCGTCCCGTGGTACCCAGGTTCATGTTGTCATGGCGATGCTGCCAGTCGCCCTGCGGTACCTTTTCATGTTGTCATGGCGATGCTACCCATTGCTCTCCAGTACCCCGTTTTATATTGCCACAGTAATGCTGCTGGTTGCCCTGTGGTACCCTATTTTATGTTGTTACGGCGATGCTGCCAGTCACTCTGCAGTGCTCCATCTCAGGTTGTTACAGTGATGCTGCCGGTCAGTTTGTGGAATCTCATTTCATAATGCCACCACTCGCTCTGCAGTGCCCTGTTCCATGTCGTCAGGGTGTTGCTTTTGGTCACTCTGCAGTGCCCTGTTCCATGTCGTCAGGGTGTTGCTTCTGGTCACTCTGCAGTGCCCTGTTCCATGTTGTCAGGGTGTTGCTTCTGCTCACTCTGCAGTGCCCTGTTCCATGTCGTCAGGGTGTTGCTTCTGCTCTTTCTGCAGTGCCCTGTTCCATGTCGTCAGGGTGTTGCTTCTGGTCACTCTGCAGTGCCCTGTTCTATGCTGTCAGGGTGTTGCTTCTGGTCACTCTGCAGTGCCCTGTTCCATGTCGTCAGGGTGTTACTTTTGGTCACTCTGCAGTGCCCTGTTCCATGCTGTCAGGGTGTTGCTTCTGGTCACTCTGCCGTACACGATTTCAGATTTTCAGGCCCGCTAACTCCCCTCCCCCCTTCCTGTGTCCGTGGCCCCAGCTCGCAGAGACGGCCGCTTCCGGGAGCCGCCCCCGACGCCCCCCGGCTACACGGCCCTGACCATCTCCGACTTCGGCAAGACCCCGCCCCACGTCGGCCGCAAACCCCCCGACTATAACGTGGCGCTGCAGAGGTCGCGCATGGTCGCTCATACGAGTGACCCCCCGCAGCCACCGGCCCGGCCCAGCCCGCGGCCCCCCCGCCTCCCGGCCCAGGGGCCGCCGGCTGAGGAAGAGGGTGAGTCCTTGTCCCCAAAACTTGTTCCTCTGAGGAAGACAGGCGCTTATACCCCTGAGAGTGCCAGGCCGTGAGTGAGAGGCGGGCCAGCCGGCGGCAGGTAACCCTCTCAGTTCTTTGCCGGTGCATGCGCTGTACGAGCCGTGGTGTGGCGTCCCCCGCATCTCAGAGCCGTGTGCCAGACCCCGCATGCTCAGTGTCCCCTGGTGGCCGCGACTGGAACATCCCCCATCTGCTCTCCTCCCTCCAGCTCAGCCCCCACCCACTACACCCTTTA